ATGCCCGGCTAATTTTTTGTATTTTTAGTGGAAATGGGGTTTCACCATGTTAGCCAGGATGGTCTCGATCTCCTGACCTCATGATCCGCCCGCCTCAGCCTCCCAAAGTGCTAGGATTACAGGCGTGAGCCACTGTGCCCAGCCTACCTCCATCTCTTAGAAAAAAAAAATTAACCAGGCATGGTGGAACACACCTATGGTCCCAGCTACTTGGGAGGCTGAGGTGGGAGGATTGCTTAAGCCCAGGAGGTTGAGGCTGCAGTGAGCCGTGATGGTGCCACTGCACTCTGGCTTGAGTGACAGAGGGAGACCTTGTCTCAAAGACAAATAATAAAACTAGATTCTCATATCTGCTTCTGCATTCACGCGGTTGTGATGTCACATACAATATAGTATTTTGAAAACTCCACTATATACTTGAGAAACAATGCAAGAGAAGTCAAATGGTACCTTAGTTTTATTATGAAAATAATTTTGAACTTGCAGACCCACTGAAAGTGTCTCAGGGACTCCCAGAAGTCTCTGGACCATACTTTGAGAATCTCTGGCATCGGCAATTGACAGTTTGGTCTTCCTTGTCCGTCAGAAAATGCTGTTCAGTTTTCACGTTTGTTGCTAACTCCAGATATTTTATAAGAAACCTGCCAGAAATAGTGAAAAGAGCATAGATCAAGGAGATAGGGCTTCTGTTTGAATAAATCATTTAGTTACAGGGCCTTAGTGCCAGGCCACCCAGACCAAAGATTTAGCTTCTTTGTGCCTCCATTTCCTCAGATATTAAAACGGAATAATGGTTGAAATACCTCCTAGGGTTGTTTTAAGGATCTGCATCTGGCTGGTAGAAATTAGAGTATTTTGGCCAGGCGTGGTGGCTCACACCTGTAATCTCAACACTTTGGGAGGCTGAGGTGGGCAGATCATTTGAGGTCAGGAGTTCAAGACCAGCCTGGCCAACATGGGGAAACCATGTCTCTACTAAAAATACAAAAGGCTGGGAGCGGTGGCTCACGCCTGTAATTGCAGCACTTTTGGAGGCCGAGGTGATCCACCTAAGGTCAGGAGTGTAAGACCAGCCTGGTCAACATGGTGAAACCCTGTCTCTAGTAAAAATACAGAAATTAGCCAGGCATGGTGTTGCAAACCTGTAATCCCAGCTACTCGAGAGTCTGAGGCAAGAGAATGGCTTGAACCCGAGAGGTGGAGGTTGCAGTGAGCTGAGATGGTGCTGCTGCTCTCCAGCCTGGGCAACTGAGCGAGACTTTGTCTGAAAATAAAATTTTAAAAAATTAATTACCAGATGATTTATATTGATTCCTAGAAGCGAGACAGCATTTGCTGGGCGCGATGGCTCATGCCTGTAATCCCAGCACTTTGGGAGGCCGAGGTGGGCAGATCGCTTGAGCTCAGGAGTTTGAGACCAGCCTGACCAAGATGGCAAAACCCCGTCTCTACTAAAAATACAGAAAACTATCTGGGTGCTGTGGCGGGCACCTGTAATCCCAGCTACTCAGAAGACTGAGGCAGGAGAATAACTTGAACCTGGGAGGTAGAGGTTGCAGTGAGCTGAGATTGCACCACTGCACTCCAGCCTGGGCAAAAGAGCAAGACTCTGTCTCAAAAAAAAAAAAAAAAAAAAAAGGATTGGGTGAGGTGGCTCACACCTGTAATCCCAGCACTTTGGGAGGCTAAGGCGGGCGGATCACCTGAAGTCAGGAGTTTGAGACCAGCTTGACCAACATGGCAAAACCCCATCTCTACTAAAAATACAAAAATTACCCAGGCATGGTGGCGCATGCCCGTAATCCCAGCTATTCAGGAGGCTGAGGCAGGAGAATTGCTTGAACCCAGGAGTTGGAGGTTGTAGTGAGCCGAGATTGCACCACTGCACTCCAGCCTGGGGACAGAGCAAGACTTCATCTGAAAGAAAAAAAAAAATTAGATGTGATGGCATGTGCCTATAGTCCCAGCTACTTGGGAGGCTGAGGCAGGAGGATCACTTGAACCCAGGAAGTGCAAGTTGCAGTGAGCCGAGATCATGCCTGTGCACTCCAGCTTGGATGACAGAGAAAGAAACAATTGATTTTTAAAAAATAACTTCCAGGCCAGGTGCAGTGGCTCACACCTGTAATCTCAGCATTTTGGGAGGCTGAGGCAGGCAGATTATGAGATCAGGAGATCGAGACCATCCTGGCTAACATGGTGAAACCCCATCTCTACGAAAAATACAAAAAATTAGCCGGGCATGGTGGCGGGCGCCTGTATTCCCAGCTACTCGGGAGGCTGAGACAGGAGAATCACTTGAATCTGGGAGGCGGAGGTTGCAGTGAGCCGAGATCGTGCCACTGCACTCCAGCCTGGGCAACAGTGAAAAATGAGGCTTGTGAAGATGCTCCGTATATATGGGTTTTGATTCATATTTACTGTATTCAAAATGAAATCAAAGTAACATCAATTAACTTTCAAATTACAATAACAAACCCACAGACATAGAAAGTACACCTGAGTGGTGGTTGCCAGGGGATGATGAGGGGTTGAGTAATTGGCACTACAGTGAACAGATGTAACCGCCTTCTTTTGGGGGTGATGGAAATGTTCTGGAATGAGGTAGTGGTAGTGGTTATACAACACAGTGAATATACTAAAAACCATGAAAGTGTACACTTTTAAAATGGCATTTTTTTTTTTATATCTTATTAGAGACAAGCTCTCACTGTGTCACCCAGGTTGAAGTGCTCTGGTACAATCATAGCTCATGGCAACCTCAAACTCCAAAGTGGAAGTAATCCTCCTGCCGTGGCCTCTGGAAGTGTTGGGATTACAGCCGTGAGCCATGGTGTTGGGTATCGGGGGAACCAGCCCCCAATATTTCAATGTAGGTTCTATTTTCCCTAAATGTTGGCCAGTCTGAGAAATAAAGAGAAAGCGTACAAAGAGAGGAGTTTTACAGCTGGGCCGTGGGGGGTGACATCACATATCGGTAGGTCCGTAATGCCCCACCTGAGCCGCAAAGCCAGCAAGTTTTTTTTAAGGATTTCAAAAGGGGAGGGAGTGTACAAACAGGGAGTAGAGTCACAAAGATCACATGCTTCTGAGGCCAACAAAGATCACAAGGCAAAGGGCAAAATTAGAATTACTGGTGAGGGTCTGTGTTCAGCTGTGCACATATTGTCTTAATAAACATCCTAATAGAAAACAGGGTTTGAGAGCAGAGAACTGGTCTGACCAAAATTTACTAGGCTGGAATTTCCCAATCCTAGTAAGCCTGAGGGTACTGCAGGAGACCAGGGCGTATTTCAGTCCTTATCTCAACTGCATAAGACAGACGTTCCCAGAAGGGCCATTTGTAGACCTCCCCCCAGGAATGCAATTCTTTTCCTAGGGTCTTAATATTTAATATTCCTTCCTAGGAGAAGAATTTAGTGATATCTCTCCTACTTGCACGTCCATTTATAGGCTCTCTGCAAGAAGAAAATGATGGCTCTTTTTGCTCGGCCCTGCAGGCAGTCAGATCTTATGGTTATCTTCCCTTGTTCCCTGAAATCACTGTTATTCTGTTCTTTTTTAAGGTATACTGATTTCGTATTGTTCAAACACACATGTTTTACAATCAATTTGTACAGTTAATGCAATCATCACAGGGTCCTGAGGTGATGTAAATTCTCAGCTTATGAAGATAACAGGATTGAGATTAAAATAAAGACAGGCATAAGAAATTATGAGAGTATTATTTGGGAACTGATAAATGTCCATGAAATCTTCACAATTTATGTTCAGAGATTGCAGTAAAGAGAGGTGTAAGAAATTATAAAAGTATTAATTTTGGGAACTAATAAATGTCCATGAAATCTTCACAATTTATGTTCCTCTGCTGTGGCTCTAGCCAGTCCCTCTGTTCAGGGTCCCTGACTTCCTGCAACAGTTGGGCCACCATATCAGTTCACAGAACAAATTGGATGGAGATTCATGGTAAGGGAATCCTCCCTCCTCACCACAGCGCCCCTGCCAAAGAAGAAGCTGGGGCTCTGCAGCTGCTGAAGTCACTGGATAGGCTGGGATAGACAGTCACAATGCAAGCCAATGGCATTGATTAGGGAATCACTGATGAATCAGAGCATGATGCTGTGTTGCGAGACGCCAGCATTGACATTCATCTTTCCCAAAAGGAGTTAGCAGCCCTTGTCCCTCAAAAAGACCAGAGTCTCAGGTGGGACTTGAACTTTTCAGGAACTACATACACCCTGAGACCTTCAACGTGGTGACAGGGATGACAGATTTCTTGCCAGTCCCCCTGCACGTGAAGGCTGATTGAGCCCTAGAAGATCCTACAGGGAACTTCAACTCCTCATTTTGCCTACAAACAGGTTGCTGTGTTGCCCAGGCTGGTCTTGAAATCCTGGGCTCAAGCGACCCTCCTGACTTGAGCCCCAAAGTCTTGGGATTACAGGCGTGAGCCCCCTTGCCCAACCACCATATCCTTTTCTTGAGTCAACTGCATGGAGGTTAATGATAGAGAAGTCCCACCACAGGGCCCCTGCCAGAGAGGAGGCTAGGGCTCCGCAGCGGCTGCAGTCACTGGGGCGGACATATTGCTAGCCCTGTATTGGCAGTGATGAGGGATCCAGCACCGTAACTGATGAGTTAAAGGACAGCATTGGGGTGCAACAGGGTGGCACTAAAACTGGTGCCTGTGTTTCCCAAGAGGCAGAGCAGCTCTTGTCTGTCACAAAGACCAGCTTCCTCAGGTAGTGTGTGAACCTGCCTCATCTGACGCCCAACATGATGGGTGATTCTTTTACCTGACCTTGGTCTACAGACTCTGCCACTCCTTGCTGTTGTCTACTGGTTCTCCACCCAGTCCTCCAAGGTGTTATCAGGTGTGACACTTAATTTAGGTGTCAGCTTGGTTCCATTTCGTTAGGATATGACATATGTGACTCCATTCTGATACTGATAACATTCTTTTTTTTAATTTTTTTTTTTTTTTTTTGATGGAGTCTTGCTCTGTCATCCAGGCTGGAGTGCAGTTGCACTATCTCAACTCATTGTAACCTCTGCCTCCAACGTTCAAGTGATTCTCATGCCTCAGCCTCCCAAGTAGCTGGTATTACAGGCGTGGGCCACCACACCTGGCTAATTTTTGTATTTTTAGTAGAGACAGGGTTTTACCATGTTGGAGGCTGGTCTCCAACTCCTGACTTCAAATGATCCGCCTGCCTTGGCCTCCGAAAGTGCTGGGATTACAGATGTGAGCCACTGTGCCCGGCCATATACTGATAACTTTCACAAAACTAACACATACCTTCACTCATTTTAATTTTCTTCCCTTCTTAAAATTTATTTCCCCAACTGCATAAACCATCCTCTTCCATCTCTTTTGAGACCTCATCAGTGATCTCTTTTCAGAATCGCCAGCCTCTTTCTCTTTCTTCCTCTTTATCATGTGAACATGCTCGTGACTCTCCTGTCTAGGATTTTAAAACACAAAACCCTTTTTCCTTACACCCCCGATAACTGACTTGCCTATTTCTGGCAAACCAGAGCCAAACTTCTCGAAACACTCGATTCTTGCTGCCTGTGTTTTCTTACCTCCCATTCATTCCTTAACGAGTTCAGCCTAGTGTCAGCCTCCCCCAGTCCACTGTAACCTTCTGATGTCTAAAGCCTAAGAGCGTATTGTGGGCAGGGTTTCCACTGTTGAGAAGGTGGTGGCTTCCTGAGGAAGGAGGAATCCCAGATCTGAGAGGGCTTAGCAGGACACGGGGGCTCATGGGTAGAGGTGAGGAGGAACTGGGCCTGCCAACAGGGCAGGGTCCTCGGGCCCAGACTTCAGCTAAGTTTCAGGAGTTAGGTGGGTTCCAGGAAAGAACAAAGGCTAATGGTCCTGGCCACCCACACACAGCAAGTGAGTTCAGCACTTTCTCAAGGGGAGGACCAGGGATGAGGAGAGCTGGAGAGTGAGACATCTGCGGTTTTGGTATAAGCCACAACTAGGCCTTCCCCTCAGACCCAGGACTCCAGTTTGGATCAATGTTCTAAGGAGCTGTCCTTGAAGAGCGTTGATGGAAGCCAGAGTCTCATCTCCTCTTGATAAATCATAGTACAAGCCCAGGATTCTCACACACCTCTCCCTCATCTTCCCACTCTTCCAGACAGATGTCCAAAGCCAGCCAGAAGTGAGATTTGCACGTCCCCAGCTGAGTCAGGAGGCAGATATCCCAGCCACATATGCCCCCACACACTAGCCTTAACCATATTTTTTTATTGAGCCACTTGGATGGGGGTTAGTGATAAAAGAGTTCTTACTCCTCATCACAGTGTCCCTGCCAAGGAGAGGGGACTCAGCAGCTGCTGCAGATACTGGGGTAAACATCCCAGTGCAGGCCAATGGCATCAATGACGGAACCAGACCGGCCACTGATGAAGCGGAGCACGGTGTTGGGGTGCAAGGGGACAGCATTGAAACTTGTGCCGCTGTCTTTCCCAAAAGTCAGATAGCGGCCCTTGTCTGTCACAAAGACCACCTTCTTCAGGTACCCCTTGTACTTCCCGGAAACCTGGATCACTGATTCCCCAGGGTGCAGAAAGATCTCCTCCAGGTCTCCACTGCGGCCACCCACATAGTCACTCCACACTTTGCCATAGCGCACCTGGAGACTGAGAAAGAGGGGAGGAGGAAGGAGAAAGAAGGGTGATGAGAGGGATGACAAGTCTCCTGCTAGTCCTACAGACTGTGAAGCCTGGGTGAGCCCTGGAAGATCCTACAGGGAACTTCAATTATTTTGCCAGCAAAGAGACTCTGTCATCCAGGTAGGAGCACAGTGGCACGATCTTGGCTCACTGCAGTCTCAACATCCTGGGCTCAGGCAATCCTCTCGCCTCTCCCTCCTGAGTAGTTGAGGCTACAGGTGCTCACCACCATGCCCGGCTAATTTTTGTTTTTGTTTTTGTTTTTCTTTGGTAGAGATGGGGTCTTGGTATCTTGCCCAAGCTGAGCTAGAACTCCTGGCCTCAAGTGATCTGTCTCTGCCTCCCAAAGCATTGTAATGACAGGTATGAGCCACTGCACCCAGCCAGCAACTCAAAGAATCTTACCCTACGATGTAGTAGTTGTTGACTCGGACCCGGAGGGCGGTGATGGGGCCGTCCAACTGGTTGCCAGAATGAGAGAATCGCTTTCCGCCACCACCTCCATACTCTCCACTATAGGAGGAAGACCTGGCCTGAACTGGAGGGGCAAGCAGGAGTTGGAGGGAGAAATCTTCCAGGAGTTCAGTTTCTCTGCACCACCCCTGTTCCTCCCACAACTCAGCTCCCACCTGAAACCAGCCTCCAAAAGCCTTGGCCAACAGCAGTGCCCAAGGCTGCCTTCCCATGTCCCCATTACCAGGCTCTGGTATCTCACTTACTGGCATTGGCAGAGGCTGAAGCACAGAGAAGGGCTAGGAGAGCGACTGTCAACATTCTGAGGCTGGAGTGGGAAGAAAAGAGCAAATGAAGATTCACCTTTTTCCTTGTGGACTTGATTGACCCAGGCACTCCTGACCTGCAGCTCAGACCAAGGCTTCTTCGTCCTTCAGCTCAGACCTAGCAGACCCAGTCTTGAGCTTAGAAACGACTATCCATAGCCTGTAGTCCTTGTAGTCCTGTTCCTCCCTGATGCTACCTTCTATGTCCCTGATCCCTCCAGCTCTCCCTGGTCTGGCTGTAGCCAAGCCCTCCTCTTTTCTCTCAAGCCTGAAAATGAACCCTAACTATCTGGATTAAGCCTTATTCCATCCTGGCACAAAGCAGAAAAGTTTTCTGAAATCAGCCAAACTTAGGTACATTTGGGTTGGTGTGGCCATAGCCAGGAAAGAAGTTTTCTAAGGAGGGAGTAGAGGACCTCTCACAAGCAAAGAGATGGCTAAGTTTACCAAGCCCAGAGGCTGAGCAAAGAAAGCCTCACCATCTGTGGTGAATTGGCCTGACTTATGGGGCACCTGGAGCATGGTTTAAATCCCTAGCATCCACCTGGTCGTAAGGAAAGAAGAATTTTCGAGGTGCCTCTGTGTCACCTGGGGAGCAGAGTTGGTGACAGAAGGGACTGTGCCAGCACCAGTATCCAAGCAGTGCTGGTGTAACTAGGACAGACAGAGAAGTTGCAGAAGGAGTTGGGACCAGCTCAAGATATTAGACCCCAGGTACCTGGTCTATGTGTCACTATTCTTTTCTCCACTAACACACATCTGGCCATGTCCATTCCCCTGAACACCTGGACACCTGAACCAGGTGTCCCCAGTCCTTCAGTAGAGACCTAGACAGCTTTGCACCTAAGATTAGTGCAGACCCAGGAGCCCCAATTAACTCAAGTCTTTCCTGCCACTCCTTCCAGGCATCCTATTCGCCAGCTCCGATTTGAATTCCCCCCCAACTCAGATTCCGGCATCTTTGACACCCCTCACCTGGCAGTTTCAGATGCAAAGCAGCCCCCTGGAAACTTCCAGATGTTTTATACCAGGTCCAAGCCCTCCCCCTGCCCTTTATTGTGTGAACCTCACCTCCTGAGCAAACATGAGCAACCTCTTCGGATCAGGTGTCAGGCGGGGTCTGGAACACCTTATCCTGCCTCTCCCCCATAGTCAACAGATACTACAGCATAGGGCAAGATTCTTTGAGTTCCTGGCTGGGCATGTTGGCTCACACCTGTCATTACAATGCTTTGGGAGGCAGAGGCAGATCTCTTGAGGCCAGGAGTTCTAGCTCAGCCTGGGCAAGATAGTGAGACCCCATCTCTATCAAAACAAAAAACAAAAACAAAAATTAGCCGGGCAAGGTGACGAGCACCTGTAGCCTCAACTACTCAGGAGGGAGGTGGGGAGGATTGCTTGAGCCCAGGACGTTGAGGCTGCAGTGAGACAAGATCATGCCACTGCACTCCAGCCTAGGTGACAGGTGGCAAGGTGGAGTCCACTCTAAGCCAAGTGCCATATATCAGGAAGAACACAGTAAACTTAAAGTCACCACCAGCAGCTCTGGGTGGGCAAAGTGGCTTATCACCTCTAGGCTTGGTAGATGCCCTCCCCTGAAATCTGCCATCTGTCAGGACAAACAGAGCCCCTCCCAGGCATTTGAAATGTGGATTCTCCCAGAAAGGGAATATATTGCCTTTCCAAAACCTTACACTTAGGAGTGCCGACTATTTGCCAGACATTTTTTTCTTTCCTTTTTCTAATATGAAAAATCCAAACACATGTAAAAGTTTAAAGAACTGTACAGTGGCCGGGCACGGTGGCTCATGCCTGTAATCCAACACTTTGGGAGGTCGAGGCAGGTGGATCACCTGAGGTCAGGAGTTTGAGACCAGCTTGGCCAACATGGTGAAGCCCCGTCTCTAGTAAAAGTACAAAAAGTAGCCGGGTGTGATAACTGGTGCCTGTGATTCCAGCTAGTCAGGAGGCAGAGGCAGGAGAATCACTTGAACCTGAGGGGCAGAGGTTGCAGTGAGCTGAGATCACGCCACTGCACTCTAGCCTGGGCAACACAGTGAGACTCCATCTCAAAAAAAAAAAAAAAAGAAAGAAGGAATTGTATAGTGAGGCTGGGTGCAGTGGCTCATGCCTGTAATCCCAGCACTTTGAGAGGTCGAAGCAGGATTGCTTAAGCTCAGGAGTTCAAGACCAATGTGGGCAACATAGGGAGATTTCATCTCTACAAAAAAATAAAACAATTAGCTAGTGATGGTGGTGCACACCTGTGCTCCCAGCTAGTCAGGAGGCTGAGGCAGGAGGATCACTTGAGCCCAGGAGGTCAAAGTTGCAGTGAGCCATGATTAAAACATCATGTCTCAAAAAAAGAAAAGAAAAAAAAAGAATTGTGTAGTGAACTCTCATATAACCACCGTATAGATTATACTATGGTTAATATTTTGCTGTAATTGCTTTCTTTTTTCTTTCTTTTTTTTTGGAGACAGAGTCTGGCTCTATCCTCCAGACTGGAGGGCAGCGGCACGATCTCGGCTTACTGTAATCTCTACCTCCTGGGTTCAAGCAATTCTGCCTCAGCCTCCCAAGTAGCTGAGATTACAGGCACGCACCACCACGTCCAGCTAATTTTTGTAATTTTAGTAGAGACAGGGTTTCGCCATGTTTGCCAGGATGGTCTCAATCTCTTGACCTTGTGATCCGCCTGCCTTGGCCTCCCAAAGTGCTGGGATTACAGGCATGAGCCACCGCACCTGGCCTGCATTTTTTTTTTTTGTCCACTCATCTATTTATCCTCAATATGCCAAACCCTTCCCAAACCATATCTCTCTGAGAAGGATGCCTGGGGTTGCAGGTGCACAGTGAACACGTGCCTATTGCCCCTCTGGAAACAGAGTCAGTCCAGTGGGAAGTGCGAAGCTGAGGATCCGAAGGTCTACAGGTGTCCCTCTGGGGGTAACTCTGGGCTTTGGGCTCTCAAGTCTCCTGGGTACCATGGCTGAATCTTCCTGGGGCTGTAGGCCACCCAGGCCATTGCTTCTTTCTTAGGTCGGTAACACCCCCAGGGGTGATGTCATAGATTTTTTTTTTTTTTTTTCTCTGTAGGCTCTTCACTTTCAGGACTGATTTCTCTCAGCCTAAAATCCCTAGGACCGACTCCAGGGACCTAGCGCCTGACCCCTCCTGGACTGGCCCTCTGACCTCTCTGATTCAGCAGGTCCAAGAAGAGGGAAGGACAGAGGACCAGAAGGGGTTGGAATAAGTACTCTCAATTATAAATGACTAGTCAGGCATTCGGAGCACCCCACCCCTCACAGGCTTACCATCTGGGGCCAAGGACTCATCCCAGATAGCAAAGGCAGTCCCGCCCTGAGGATCTGGAAATGGCGGGGACTCCAGGGGGATGAGTTGTGGGAGTGAAACAGAACAGCAGCCAAAGATGCCACGTTCACTCCTCCCTTCCCCTCTCTTTTTCTCCAAGGTCAAGGTCAGTACATCCTGCTGCTATAACTTTCACCTCATTCCAGCCGTTTTGTTTTGTGTCTCTCTCCCTCTCTTTCCCAGTGACTCTCCTTCCTTTTATGTCTTCATCTTTCCCTGCTCTGAGGAGGATTTTTCTTTCCTTTTTTTTTAGATGGAGTCTTGCTCTGTAGCTGGGCTGGAGTGCAGTGGTGTGATCTCGATTCACTGAAACCTCTGCCTCCAGGGTTTAAACATTCCCCTGCCTCAGCCTCCTGAGTAGCTGGGACTACAGGTGCGCGCCACCACGCCCAGATAATTTTTTGTATTTTACTAGAGATGGGGTTTCACCATGTTGGCCAGGATAGTCTCGATCTCCTGAAATTGTGATCCGCTTTCCTCAGCTCCCAAAGTGCTAGGATTACAGGCATGAGCCACCACACCCAGCCTTTTCTTTTCTTTATCTTTTTTTTTTTTTTTTTTTTAAAGACAGAGTCTCGCTCTGTTGCCCAGGATGGAGTGCAGTGGCCCAATCTCAGCTCACTGCAACTTCCGCCTCCAGGATTCAAGTGATTCTCCGGCTTCAGCCTCCCAACTAGCTGGAATCAGGCACCCACCACCATGCTTGGCTAATTTTTGTATTTTTAGTAAAGATGGGGTTTCACTATGTTGGACAGGCTGGTCTTGAACTGACTTCAGGTGATCCACCCACCTTCACCTCCCAAAGTGCAGGAATTACAGGCGTGAGCCACGACAACTGGCCTAAAGTTTTTTCTTTATATTCCTTCTCTCCATACCTTTTTCCTTCTGCCCCTTCTTTCCTGTCCCTACATCTCTCCCAAGCTCTCTCTCTCTAGCTCTTTCCTCTCTCCTTTCTAATCTTTGCCTGTCTTCTTCTGTTTAGGGACAGACCACCCCTAGTCTGTGACCAAACACAGAAAGTCAAAGATTGCAGCTCAGAGAGGTTGAGGTGGGCACCTTGGAAGGATGTCCTCATGTTTCCAGGCATGACACATCCAGGACCCTCAGGACAGAGGTGCCCACATTTGCCACAGCTCCACTCCGTTGCACCCACCCTGCCTGTATGGAGATCCAGCATCTCCTCCATTACCAGAGGCTGCTCCTTGTTCCACCACAGCAAGTCCTCAGTCTCCAGAGTGCAAGAGATGCCTTCCTATGGTGGGAAGGGTCTCAAGGCCCATTTTCTGTCCATCCCAGAAACAAGGAAAGCTGCCCTATTGCTAATGCTGGTACCTCTAGGGTGCACCCTGATGTGGGGATTGAGCCAGAAGAAAGAACATGAAGGCAGTGAGACACCAGGTCCCCATCTCTGCTTCTGCCTCATCAGATCCTGTTTGAGCCACTTTACATTTAACCTATGTGCCAGCTGTAGGCCTACCTGCCCCTTTTAAACTCTAGCTGAAGTTGCCTTAAACCTCATCTGGTTCCCGGGCCTGGACGCATGAATGTCCAAAGCCCTTCCAGAGCTTTCTGCCACTCAACAGAAAGCACCTCAACACATGTTTTTCGTTTGCTTGTTTTTGTTTTTTGTTTGCCTGTTTTTAATTTTTTTTCAAGATGGAGTCTTGCTCTACTGCCCTTTCTCGGTTCACTGCAACTTCCACCTCCCAGGTTCAGGCGATTCTCCTGCCTCAGCCTCCCAAGTAGCTGGGATTACAGGCATCCACCACCACGCCTTGCTAATTTTTGTATTTTTAGTAGAGACGGAGTTTCACCATGTTGGACAGGCTGGACAGGCTGGTTTCGAACTCCTGATCTCTTGATCCACCCTCAGTCTCCCAAAGTGCTGGGATTACAGATGTGAGCCACCGCGCCCGGCTCAACACATGTTTATCAAGCATCTCTACATTGGAGGCACCATTCTAGATGCTGAAGAGACAGCAATGAGGAAAAGAGTCAACAGCCAACCTCAAGGAGCTGTAGGGCCAAGGGAAAGCTTCCTCTCTGCTCTCTAGCCCTATAAAGGCTCCCCGAAAAGGAACTGACAGTTGGCAAATTAATAGGAGAAAAAGGTGTACAAAATTTATGTCACATGCACAAGCGCAAGGGAACCACAGGAGAATGATGACCTAATAACGCAGAGTGGTCCAGATGCTTATGTAGCCTCCTTCCTCATAGGGGAGGGGAAATGGGGGTGCAGCAATGTTGAGAGGTAGTATGTGATTTTGTGGGGAAATATATGGGGCCAGGTGCAGTGGCTCACACCTTGTAATCTCAGCACTTTAGGAGCCTGAGGTGGGTGGATCACTTGAGGTCAGGACTTCAAGATCAGCCTGACCAACGTGGTGAAACCCCATCTCTACTAAAAAATGCAAAAATCAGCCGGGTGTTGAGGCACATGCATGTAATGCCAGTTACTTGGGAGGCTGAGGCAGGAGAATCGCTTGAACCAGGGAGGCGGAGCTTGCAGTGAGCCGAGATTGCACCATTGCACTCCAGCCTGGGCAACAAAAGCAAAACTCTGTCTCAAAAATATAAAAATTATTTAAAAAGGAGAAATGAATGGACCCGAGAGATAGGAATTAACTTGTAAATGATTCCCTTGGAATTTGAATAAGCCCGAGAGAC